TACCACTTCCTCTGGCAGCTCGTTCCATATACACACCGCCCTCTGTGTGAAAATGTTGCCCCACAGGTCCCTTTCCCCTCTTATCTTAAATCTATGCCCTCTAGTTTTGGACTTTCCTACCTTGGGCAAAAGACTTTGGCCATTCACCTTATCTATGCCCCTCATAATTTTATAAACTTCTTTAAGGTCAACACTCAAGCCCCTATGCTCTGGTGAAAAAGGTCCCAGCCTATCCAGCCTCTCCTTATAACTCATAGCCTCCAGCCTCGCTAACATCCTTACAAACATTCTGCACTCTTTCCAGTTGAATGATGTCCTTGCTATAGAAGGGTGACTAGAATTGTATGCAGTACTCCAAATGAGGCCTTACCAATGTCTTGTATAGCCATAACATGACATTCCAACTCCGGCACTCAATGCTCTGACTGATGAAGGCAGGCGTGCCAAATGCCTTCTTCATCACCCTGTCTACCCGTGACTATGTATCTGCACCCCTAGGTCTCTCTGTTCGACAATACTCCACAGGGTCCTACCATTAACTGTGTAAGCTCTGCCCTGATTTGTCTTACCAAAAACCCCATGCATTTAGCTAAATTAAACTCCATCTGCTGCTCGTCAGCCAACTAGTCTAGATGATCAAGATCCCCCCTTATACACTTAGGTAACCTTCTTCACTGTCCACTATAACTCCAATTTTGGACCCAGCACTGATTCTTGCATCACATCATGGGTCACAGGTCTCTAGGCTGAACTACAACCCTCTACCACCACCCTCTGTCTCCTACCTGCAAGCCAATTTTGTATCCAATTGGCTAGCTCTCCCTGGATCCCATGTGATCTCATCTTATAACCAGTCTACCATGTGAAACCTTGTCTAATCTAAAACTATCCTTACTCTTTCTAGTTATCCACAAATATCCACTTCTCCACCTGGGCTTTTCATTTCTCAATGGAATGCACATTCATTGAGAAATCTGATACTCTAGTTTTGGAAGCAAGTACATCATTGCTGAAGTTAATATGAAAGTCTCTCATATTATGCTCACTCTTCCATGGGTGATCCCTTACTTTAACCATATCTCTTCACTCAAGATCTAAAATGGTCTCTTCCCTGTTTGGTTCCATGGTGTATTGCTCAAGGAAGTTTCTCAAATGTATTCCTTGAATTCATCCCCCCAACCAATTTTGCCAATTTGATTTGCCCAGACAATATGAAGATTAAAGCTCCCACATTTATTGCATTATCTTTGTTTGAACACCTGTTATTTGATTAATGCTCTGCCAGCAATATAGCTACATTTGAGGAACCCTGTAAACTATTCTAGTTAGTCTTTTCTGTCTCTTATTTATCTCCCCCTGCATAATTCTTTTTCTACTCTTCTGAATGAAAATCCTTCCTCACTTGCCCTTTTGTCACCCTTTATTATCAGGACTACACTAACCATTTCTTCCATTTTGTCCGACTATTTGAAATGTCAAGTAACAGCATTAATTGAGTCTAACATTGAATGACGTGTAATAAAGCATCCTTTGGCCATTATCGTATCAATGACACAGATAAGGTCAGTTTTGTCTATCCCAATTGTCCCAAGAATTGATGGTGGTTCTTGTTGAAGCAGTGAAGTCCTTTTGATGACGTGTTTTTTCTCTTGCCACTAGTTATGAAGCTCTCCTTATGAACACAATAATGAAGAAACAATAACATATGTCTAGGTCACGATGGTGATTTGGAGGAAATTAATACGTGACATTGTTATTCTTATGCTCTTGGTGGTACTGATCACACAGTGTGAACGCCCTACTGGATAAATCTTGATTCAGCATGATTTGATGATGATCAAATCATGTTTGACTAATTTGCTCAAGTTCTTTGAAGATGTAAAAAGCAAGGTGGACAATAGGGATCCTGAAGTACAACTAGACTTCCAGAATGCATTGATAAGGTGCCTAAAGGTTAATACACAAAGCAAGATCACTTGGGATTGTGATTATTAGATTGGATAGAGGATTGGCTAATCAACAGAAAGCAGAGAATCAGGATAAATGGATCTTTTTCTGGTTGGCAAGATGTAGGTACCTGGGTGCCACAGGGTTCAGTCCTTGAGGTCACAACTATTTACAATCTATACTAATGACTTGGATGTGGGGATATAAAGTACTGTTGCCAAATTATCCAACGAAACTTAAAATAGACAGGAAGCCAAGAAATTAATGAAGAAATAAAAAATTTACAATTGGATATGGATGTTAGCAGAATGAGCCAAAATTTGGCAGATGAGTTTAACGTAGATTGGTGTGAGGTTATCCATTTTTACTATTAAAATAGAAAGACAACTTATTATTCAAATGGAGGGAAACTTTAGAGTATTTAGGGCAGCACAGTGGCTAGCACTGCTGCCCCACAGTGCCAGGGACCCAGATTCGATTCCAGCCCTTGGGCGACTGTGTGGAGTTTGCACTTTCTCCCCATGTCTGCGTGGGTTTCCTCCCACAGTCCAAAGATGTGCAGGCTAGGTGGATTGGCTATGCTAAACTTCCCGTAGTGTTCAGGGATGTGTAGATTAGGTGGGTTACAGGGGGATGGATCTGGGTGGGGTGCTCTGAGTGTCGACGTGGACTTGTTGGGCTGAAGGGCCTGTTTTCACACTGTAGGGATTCTATACGTATATATAGTATTTCAGTGCAGAGGGATCTGGGTATCTTCATGCATGAATCACAGAAAACTAGTATACAGGTACAGCAGGGAACATGGAAATCAAATGGAATTTTGGCATTTATTGTTAAAAGAATAGGGTATAAAAGTAGGGAAGCTTTGCTGCAACTGTACACGGCATTAGTGAAACTGCACCTAGAGGGTCCTGACCCAAACATCAACTTTCCTGCTCCTCTGATGCTGCTTGGCCTGCTGTGTTGCTCCAGCTCCACTTTGTGTTATCCCAGTGTTCTGTGCACTGTTTTGGTCCCCTTGAGGAGAAATGCTGGAGTATTGGATGTACTTCAGAGGAGCTTTTCTAGACTGATTCCAGGGATGAGGGGTTTCGTTTATTGAGATTGCGCAATTTAGGCCTTTACTCTCTTGACCTTTGAAGAATGAGAGGAGATCTAATTGAAGTATACAAGGTGTTAAAAGGGATTGACAAATGCTGGCCAGCCAGCAACACCCACAACCCACGAATGAATAATTTTTTTAAGAAGAGTATAAAAAAGATGTTTCCTCATGTGCAAATATAGATTGAGAGGTCATTGCTTTAGGATAGGGGGTAGCAAATTTAAAACAGAGAGGAGGAGAAATCATTTCTCTCAAAGGTTCACGCATTTTTGGAATTCACTACCCCACAGTGTGGTGAATGCTGGGCCACTGAGTAAATTTAAGGAGCAGATAGAGTTTTATTTAGAAATGGGTTGGATTATGGAGTGCGGGCAGGAAAGTGGAGTTGAAGTCAAGATGAAATCAGCCATGATTTTATCAAATCCTAAAACAGACTCATGGGGCTGAATTGCCCACTCCTGCTCTTAGTTCTTACATTCAGTTTCAGAGTGCATTCTGCAGATCATACCTAAGGAATAACTGTGGTAGATAAAGAATGTTCAGTCCTTACTAAGAATGTGAAGGTGCCAGTGTTGGTCCTGTCCTCACTAAGGTCAAGCTTCTTGAATATCCATTTAGCTGTATCCAAATGGGAAATCATGAGTCTTTCCCATAAGGAGGAAATGTCCTTTCAGCAACCACCCTATCAAGCCCCCTAAGATCTTATGTTTCAATAATATCATCTCTCATTCTTCTAAATTCCACAGAGACCTAATCTGTCCTGCCTCTTCTCATAAGGTAACCTTTCCACCCCAGGATGCAGTGGAATGAACCTCAGTAGAGGGTGAGACAGGAAAGAGTCAGGTAGCAATTGGAGATTCAGAGATGAAGGCTGGGAAGTCAGGGCTTTTGAAGGGTCAGGATCAGTCAGGAAGTGTTGAAAATGGGTGGAGGATGGCGGGAGGGAGGATATCTTATTATTATTATCTAGGAATTAGCTACGGTTTTAAACTCATTCAACATTTCCTTAGCAACAACCCAGCATCTGATCTCTCCCAAGTCTTCCACTTTAGCTCAGAGACAAGCATGCAGGATCCACAAGAGCTGAGGAACACCCATCAGAACTTTTTTTATATCCAGAAGTGCACTTAACCCACCAGAAATTTAAACTTTCCACGCAATTCTCTCTGAATCAGTGCAACATGACTGTGTGGGTCCTGACATATACCTTTGCGAGTTACATCCAATCTCTGCCTAACTAGACACTGGAAAATCTGGATAGGACATGATAGGAACCTCAGACGAAGGTAGAGAATCACCCATTGGCATTTTTTTAAGATAACTTTCAAAAACTTCAATCTTGCAGTCAGTGCTGCATCGTGCTTGATGATGGGAATGTTAACTAATGCTTCCCTCCTGTCACCTACCAATTATCTTCAGCAGAACGTCATCGAAATTCTCAGGTTTGATCCGTATGATGTTGGACTGTCTGGTGGATCAAGATATAGTCAAGGTTTGGAATGGTATGGATTTGACGGTACAACCTGGCTACTTGTTGCATCATTGCTTGACCAGTCTGTGGTACAGCTCTTTCAATTGGTCTGAGTGGCTTTAATCTTACCCATATACAATGACAATGACCCTTCCCTAACAGACATTAGCTGAAAGAATTGAATTGTTACAACATATCACAAGCTTTCATTTAGTTTCCTGGTACTAACCCTTAAATTACAAACTTATCAAATTTAATTCCACATTGTGACGTGACTCCTAAACTCTCAATTTCTAAGTTCTTACTCCTGTACTAAAATCACTAGGCTTCAGTAATCATTTAAAAAGAATATGAGGGTGATGATCACAACTCGGGACCAATTATTATACAGATAGATGAAGTAGTGATTGGCAACTCTGAAAGTAATAGCCCCACACCACATAAAAGAACAATTACACCATGTAAAAAAGATTTATTTTTGCGCAAAGTGTGAGTGCTTTATTGAAGTAACTAAAAAAATTGCAATGTATTTTTATATTTAAAATAGAACACATTTATAAAATGTTGCCCCCTCAAAGACAACTGCTTGTGTCAGGTAAAAAAAGATTAGAAAATGATTTCAGCAACTAATGGAGCACACGCTACCACCCCTCAACCCCAAACACATGCTAGTGAATCAACAATTAATTTTTACAACTCATACTTATTTTTAATTACATCAATGGAACTAAAAATCAGGAATTTTGTAAAACGCACTGCTGATTCAGTACTGCTGCATGTAGCTCCCCCTCCCTCCATCCCACCCCATTCTCACATACGCTTAGAAAAACCAGAGAACAGGCAAGAAAATTCTCAACATTTCTGAACCATTATAAAAGCTGCTTTGAGGCTAATTACCTCTGTGAATCAATAAATTAACACAATTCATAAGTATAGGTAAAGATAGTCAACTGCTGGGAGCACACAGAAATTTAAAGTTACAATTTGTGCTAAAATAGCATAAAACAAATAAATACAATTTGAATCATAAAGAAAAGGACAAAACTTTGGAAACATGTTAGTCACCATCTGTGGGGAGTACAAGTTGATCTTTCTGGTGCCAAGCCTTTAGAACCAGGATGTTCTCATGCTCTGATTTCCAGTATTGGCAGTATTTTTCTTTTTACAGTTATGAAAGCACTTCTGTTAGTTATCCAATCACCCAAATGTAGATTTGTAATTTCAGCATTAGAATCAAATGGTATGAGTAGTCAGTGCAAACCAACCTCGTTTTTCTAATCTCTCTGGCTTCAATCTTTGAGTAATGGATGTTCCATTTCCATCACCTTTGTCCAGATGTAGTGAGGAATTAGTTCTACTGGCATTATCTGTTGATCTATTGCTATTTATTTCACTAGCAGGACAAGGTGTGCTCTCTGAGGAAGAGTCCAAACCATTGGGCAAAGGGATCAACACATCCAGTGATTTTCTGCCAGTTTCTGTCCAATTACCTTCTGGTGGAATAGGAGAAATGGGTGGTGAGGCAGAATCACCAGAAATTTGTCTCTGCTGTTCAATCAACTTCAGAAGTTTGCTGCGTGCTTCAGCACTCTGGTAGTTGAGCTCAGTGATCCTCTGCTGAAGGCTATCACAAGGTCTGGGCACAAACCTTTCAATCTGTGGTGCAGAATTAGGTAATTTATCAATATTGAATTGGCTAAGTTGGGCTTTGAGAGCTGAATTCTGCAATTGGAGCTCAGTGATCTGAGCAAGCATTGCTTCATGTTTAAGCCACTTGTCTAAAGTTTCAGCTTCCATCTTGTTCTCCTTTGCTCCCAGAATATCTGTCGCTGCATCAACAGTTCCTGGTTGTTGCATTTCAGATGAATTACTAACAGGCAAAACAGGAGTCAAGTTCCTTTGTCCTTCATTAGCATTACTAAAATTGCACTGCTGGGCAAAATCCTGTTGACCTTGCAGCTGGTTTGGCATTCCTAAGTATTCTATAAAGTTGTTTTCTCTTTGTAGTTCAACAGATGTTCGAGCTTCCTTATCAATTTGCGAGGGATGCGCACAATTTGATTTCAGGTATACATTATCAGTCAGGGGTCTTTCTTGAAACAAACTGGCTGTAGTTTGTGATCCGATGGCTATTTGACTGTTCCTCTGTCTTGGGGGAGAAAGCAATACAGCAGAGCCAAATAAATGCTCAGGTAAACACTGACCTCTTCCAGCTCCTTCTAACACAATCTCCCTGTACTGATTGATAAAGGGCAGTCTTTTACCCAGGTTTTCTGAAAGTTCGTCTCCAGGATTTGGTGCAGCCCTTATAATAGGTGCATTCATGTTATCTTGTCTGCCAGAGTAAATACAAGTATGTAAACTCCGTCCTCCCAGTGCTGCCTCACCAACTTTGCAAGCATCAATGTTTTCTCTTGGCTTCGGTTTGTTTATTTCTGCTTCCAAAGATCCATGCAACATTTGTTTCATTACGTGTAGTTCTTCATCTGTTTTCATCATATAATGATGCATAGAAATAATTTCATTTTGCATTGTTAGAAATTCTGCAGTCAGTGCATCAATTAGTGTTCGCTGTTCTGTGGATTTTTCCACAAGTTGCTGTTGATGTTCTTTCTCCTGCTGCTGTTGAATTTCATTCTCCTTTAGATAGTGGGTCAGTTGGCTTATCAAGCTGACCAAGGAGAAGGTGAAACCTGTTAGGCTACGACCTTTCTGTGGCAACCAGCCCGTAACTTTGCGTCCCGTCTGGCGTTGCAATTCCATCATCTCCTGGTCAATCTGATCAATCATTTCCTGCAGCACATCGAGAGTCAGTTGCTTGTCCTCTTGATTGCTGTCTTCTGTTCTTCTGGTCGGCGTATGGCAATTTTGGCACCCTGGAAAGCCGTTTTTTGAGTTCCTTGAACCAGGGTGAAGGACTTGCTGAGTTACTCTTGCAGTCTCGGTTTGGAATGAGTCTGCACTGCCTTCAGCTTCACTTTGCACTCTTGACTTTGCTCTCTGGATTGCCGTGGTGGCGTTTAAACTTGTGTGGTTCCCTGAGGCATCACATTCTGGTGTGCATGGAGTCTCCGGGGTCTGGTTGGGGTCTGTATGGGACCACTCTGATGTAGCCTGTGGAGTTTTTGGTGGTTTCCCCTGCAGGGAGGGATGGTTGCTGCCATCGAAGGCTGCAGCATCTGCCTTTTTCAGACTATCCCGGGACGGTGGACGGTCTGGGATGGTGTTGCCGGTCTCGTTGAGGGCCTGGGAGTCCATGACCGACTCGCTGAGGAGGGACAGCTGAGTAGGCCGCTCCCAGCTCGGAGCCAGCAGAGCCGCCTTCCCGCAGCCCGGGGCCGCCGTCACGTTGGGGAAAGCGGCGTGGAGGCGCGGGCCGTCGGCGAACAGATCCCGGACTAGAGCCAAGGCCCGGTCAGACCTGGCCAACACGTCCTGCAGCTGCCACCGGTCGAGCAGCAGCTCGTTGACCAGCGGCGGCTCCTTCCCGGGAGCGGCGCGGGGTTTGTGGAGGCCGAACCGCCGGTTCCTGGACTGGCGGCTGTGCCGGCGCCGAGCGAGTTCCTCCGGGCTGGCCCGGTGCACGCTCAGGTCACTGATGGTACTGTCCCACTCTCTCCTCGGTGGTGCCGCCGCCTTCTTCTTGCGGCCTCTGCCCGCCGCCTGCGAGCGGCTGCCCCGCACCAACGACATCCCCGGCTCGTAGGCCCGAACGGAGCGCGCTCTCCCGCCGCCACTTCCAGCGCGCTCCCATCGCCAAGTGCCACCAGTCTCTGCGGCGCGCGCCCCCGCCAACCGCGTCCCTGCACGGTCCCGCCGCCACTCTCCCCCATCCAGCGCGCCCCCGGCGCGCTCCCTGCGCCAGTCACCTCACAGCGCGCCTCTGTCGCCAACGGCCACCCACCGCCACTGCGCGCGCCCCCGGGGCCAACGGTCCCCTCCCGCGCGCCCCCCGGCGCCAACGGTGCCTCCCGCTCGGACCGGGCGGTCCTGAGCGCCGCTGAGTGCTAGTTTCAGGCTCAGTGTAAAGGAATGTGAAAAAAAGATTAAAAACTACTTTAAAAAAGAAAAATCTCCGATCAATCAGGGATTTGGACTTTTAAAAAAAAACTACTGGAAACTTTGAGCGAACGACACGTAGAGAAGAAAGAACTGCAAGTCTTACCCAGCCCCCCCACTAAAGGTCATGTCCAAAAACAAATTTCTTTCCGTTATAGATGTCTCTTTAAATTAATTTAAATCCCACAAAGAGCTGCTCGGTTGTGGCAAGTCATCAGAACAAAAACGTAACAAATCTGCCTCCTTTTTAGGGCACCGTTAACAGAAATCATCCAAATCAATGAGAATTTGTGCCACCCATGCTGCCTGACCACATATCTCTTTCCGGGATTTACTGTTTTCATTGAGATTTGCGGTGTTTTTTTTTCCAGTTTACTAACATGTTATTATTGGGCTCAAGATTCAGTTCATTGGGGCTGTTAAGGGTCTTGGCAGGGTAAATGCTGAGAAATGTTTCCATTCAAGGGAGAGTTTAGGAGCAGGGGGTATAGTCTCAGAATAAAGGGGTGCCAATTTAAGACAGATGAAGAGGAGTTTCTTCTCTCAGAGGGATGAGGGTCTTTGGAAATCCTTGCCACAGAGAGCTGTGGGCAGCAGTCTTTGTGTATATTTGAATCAGTGGAGGAATCAAGGGTTACGTGGAAAAGGCAGAAAAGTGAGGAATGTCAAATCAGCGATGATTCTATTGAATGACAGCACGGGCTCAAGGGGTTGAGTGGCCTATTCCTGTTCCTATTTCTGATGTTCTTAATGCAAAATGTATTGTGTAGCACTAATGAATTAGCTGCAACGGTCAGGTAAATAGAATAGAAATTTATTGTTCTGTGTATTTTTACATGAAAAATACAGTGAAAAGTTTTATAAGTCACTGCATCACAGCACCTGTGGACAGAAATCAGACACAATAATAAAAAGACAGTAATGTTAAGACTAGGTTCATCACAGTTCAGTTAACAGCTCCTGGGCTCGGGATTAAGGAACGGTAGAATACCCTGAAGATGCAGCCAGGGCTAGACTGCCATGCTGGGTCGCTGGAATACTGGGCCGGAAGCCTCCGCTGAAAAACACTGTCGTTCTCGGCCAAGACTGCTAATCTTGGATGTGTGTCAATGCTGTCACTTTAAAAGGGTTATTTTGACCTGGGTTTTTTTTTGAGAGGTTGTAAAGGCAGAGGAACCAAAGTGGCTACCAGAGATGGCCTAAGTCAATAATCAGAGGATGCCTTTAGGTTTTTTTTTAAAACAGTTGTAACAATGGAAGGAAAGTGGCCAGTTCTCACATACCAACCTTCTCATTTTTTTAGCTGTAGCAGTCAGAAGCTGCTTGGGTTCCAGAAGAGTTGGAGCTTCAGAAAAATGATTCCTGGATGCTACATTCTCTGAAATCTCTCTTGATGTTGTTTCCACCTGGATTGGAGAAATGCGTGTAAGAATCTGTGTCTGAATTTATGGGATGTTGTTATATTGGAGCCTGAATGACTGAGTTATGGTAAGAAATCTGAAAGAATCTCACAAGAAGTCAAGTGAGGCCTATCATGACACGGGGAACAACCAGTAGTATTTTCCAACAGAGATGTGAAGCAAAATTCTTGCTATGGATTAGCAAGATGCCTATTTAGGGGCGTTATTGCGTATTGTCAGCCTAATTAACTGCAGATCTCACCTTATTAACACCTTCTTATCCTACAACCTGGTGCAACCAAACTAGACAGTGATGAATCTTGACATTGACGTCTGAGTGGGCACCTGGGCACTCCAGCTTGCTGCTTGCTCTTAAAGACTTCCATTTCGCACACCTACCACCAGCACCTTGTACTTGTCATCTCTAGGGTTAGTGATGGCATGCAGCCCATGTCTCTGGACCTTAGCATTGTACATTTGCCAGTTCCTGCACATCATCATGATGATCCAATTACATTAAGCTTCTGCAGTTTAAAATTCTAACCAGAGGCACAGCGATAATTATAATCTCAATGCTACTGCAAGGAAACTTTATATCCAGGGACAGGCATCAAACTCATGGATTAGAATGGCTGCATCTCACGGCTGTTCACTTGCTGTCTTATCACTGACTCACTCTGAGTCTACCTGGATGCTTACAGCATTTCTGCAGTGCCTTGACTTAGCTTTTTATGTCTTGCCCCCTCAGCCAAAGCTACTGAACTCTCAGTACTTCTGTATTGCATTTCCATCTAGTGCAGATATAAAAGAAGGAAGGTTGTCACTATTCCTCAGTCAAGTCAATGGAGACAACCTTCAGTTATGGAGGATGCGCATACAGTAAGTCAAGGGCAGTCCCTGATACTAAGTCTGGGGATCTGGACGTGGTCAGTCAGCTGCTTGGGCTGTCAGGGCCAGGATCCTCTCATAAGGGGTGAGGAGCTGAATGTCGAACAGCCTACCATCTGTCTTAGCTCTTTCTGCCCTATTGTGAGCTGTTTTTTTCTATAACAAGAGAAAGGGAACTGTTAAGGCAGATGAACATGGCTGGTACAGCTGTTAGTACTGCGTGCAAGTGGAGGAAAAGTGGGGAGTTGTCCTAAGCGAATGAGTAGGCAGCATAGAGACCATGCAAGGTGTGAGGGGTTGGGATGGAAGAGAGAGAGTGAAGGAAGATATTGCATGCAATATTGAGAGTGATAGAGCATACGTTTTGGTAGGAAACAAGTGGATTAACAAAGACAGAGTGAATCTCATCTTGCAGAATGAAGGTGATGGCTTATATTCTGGTGAATCCAATGTGCATTGAGCTTCTTCCTACACTCCTGGGCATTCCACCATATGACTGAGGCTGCACTGACCCAGACTGGCAAGGTCTGGTGTCGTGGCACCCTGTGGCAATCCTAGGAGAAGAGGACAGCCCTCCTCTGTAGCACCCTCCACTCAAGGATCTCCAGTCACCTGTCCGCAAAGCGTGATGCAAAATTTTCGCCTCTTTGCCACGTCTGGGGCAAATGTCACAAACTGTGCAGGGCAGTTCTGGACTGACAGTGCCTGTCTGGGTGCACAATGGCCTTTTAAAGATGATACTGTTAACACAGATGCTAGTCCATTCTTAGTTATCTGTACAGTGATGAGTTCTTTTGGCTAAGGTAAGTGGTAGAATCGGGCTAGCATTGGACAAGAGGGATGCTATGGGGGCAGAGTAGGTTGTTAATGAGTTGAAATTGGGCTGAGTGTGAGAAACTTGTTCGGCCTCACAGACAGAAACCATCCATGAAACTTGACAAAATTGACACTGCCAAAAATATGCAAGATCCAACCCAGTGCTCCCAACTGAATCATATGACACTGGTAGTTGATACATTTACTAGCAAGGGAGCTCCAATGTTGTAGCATCGAAAATTAGATTAGTAAAACCACATTTTGAATTAGTGCTTCTTTGCACACTCATTAAAAAAAAGTCTCAGCTGACCTCCATCTTATTGAAATTATTATTGAAATAATACTCAAGTTGTTAACTTTGTTATGTTTTTAGATATTTCCTTCTTATTGTTGCTAAATCCTTCCTACCTGGTCATGTTCTATGAGCAATAAACATATATCAGCAAGCCTTCAAAATCTATAGATCAAGATGAGAAGAATGAGTGTTTCTTCTAAATCAGTTGCCAAAGTATAAAACCTCTCAGTTGATTAAGTTAACCAGGTTCCGATATTCTGGCTTTTAAAGGCACTTTACAGTTCACAAATAATCCACAGTTAAAACGACAAAGCTCTCAAATCAATTGCCAAACTCTTCAACATGACTTTCTTTGGGCCTCAGATGAGGTCTGCTCCTGATGAAGGCTTACACTTTATAAATTAGATCAGCAAGCCATTCTTTTCCCAAAAAGCCTGAAAGAATTGCCTGTACTTGTTGGTTTAAAATTTTTCTTTACTGCTAATCTTGTTTAACTGAATGGTACAATTTTCTAATTCAATCAACTTTAACTCCTTTCTTCTCTTTGCTAAGTTGGATCATGAAATGATACAGAAACAATGTGGTCGATAGTATTTCGAAAATGCAAGTTGTACGCAAGTACACTGAGTGACTTGAGTTTTGATTGGCAAATCAGTCCCTGTTGCCACATATTAATCTGTGACATTGCACTGCACTGTCAAACGAGAATCGCAAAATTACTACAGCACAGAAGGAGGCTGTTGAACCTATCCTGGGATAGTAAGAACTGCCGATGCTGGAGTCAGAGATAACAGAATGTGGAGGTGGAGGAACACAGCAGGCCAGGCAGCATCAGAGGAGCAGGAAAAGTTGATGTTTTGAGTCGGGACCCTTCTTCAGAAACCTATCCTGTCTGGCTCGCGGAATGTCATTTCAGTTACACCAATCACTAGCATTCTCAGATAACCCTGCACATTGTTCTTTTTCAAATAAGTAAATCTGTTTTAAGTGCATCAATTGAACTTGTCTTCACCACAATCTCATCGAGTGCATTCTAGACCCCAACTACTTACTGCATGAAAAGTCTTTCTCTCATATCAATTTTGCTCTTTTGCCAATTACTTTAAATCTATCTCTGTTTGGTCTCGGTACTTTCACAAATGAAAACGGCTTCTCCCTATTTACTGTATCCAGTTCTGTCATAATTTTGAATAACTCTATCAGATCTCCACTCAGCTTTTTCAAAAGGAAAACAGTCCTAACTTCTCCAATCTGTGCTCATAGCTGAAGTTCCTTCTCAAAAGAACCATTCTTATAAATCTCTTCTGCACTGTGTCCAAAATCTTCACATACTTCCTAAAA